TTAACATTGTTCCAGTTTGACAATTTGGTATATCATTGGAATAATAAACTGTATTGTAAGGTTGCAACGTTAATATTGTAGAGGATTTTGCGGTTATCATTATGGAAAATCAACAACAGTCCTACACGACAGCTACAGCAGAAGGTCCTTCATCACTAGGAATAATGGCAGATACGGTCGACGAGGAACGATTAGCCGTTCTCCAACAGGTATCTATTCCTCCGTAGGGTAAGCTCTGATTAGTAGGACAATTATGCTATTAATTTCAAATTTTTTTGGATCTCTTCGCTGTTCCTTGTCATTAAATTGGGAAGAAAAGTTCCATTAGACTTTATTCGAATTAAGACCGCTAAGTTAAACTAACGATCAGTGATTCTTCCGTATTCTCGAAGAATGATTTATACTTTTTATTACTGTTAGTGTTACCACTTAACATCTTGGTATTCAAAGATAACATTTGCAATTTGGACAGATGTGAAAAAAGTGCTTTTCTTCTTTTCATATTGTACCCCTCTGTTTATTCACAAATAAGGATTCTTACAACGCCACTTTTCGTAATAACCATTTCAAATTGAAAAATTATATGTAAAAGTGTCAAAAGTTTCCTGTGCTGTTTGAAACTTTACCAGCAGAGTGCTATTTACAGATTTATCAACAAAAGCAAGTCGAACTCTTGTCACAATATCAGCAAGCACAAACAGACCTTGCGATGCAACATTTTACCTACTTCCAAGCTCTTCAAACATCTCAGCAACAAAAACAACAGCAGCAGTCTTTGCAAGATACTAAAGCTCCAGAACAAACAAGTTCCATAAGCACTGTAGATATTTCAGAGGATGGTGATACACAAGTATCTCCTTCTGCTAAAGATGGCGTGGGGTTGAGAAACAAAAGGTAACCATTTCGTTATAACTACTCAACTAATTGCTAAAAAATTAAATATTTAATCTCATTATTTAAATATTTTTAAAGTAAGGTTTAACTTCCAAAAGTGTACCTTTCCAGATCTTATTCTGGTAGCGGACAGACAATTTCTCAGCTAACAAAGGAACGTTTAAAAACGATGATTACTAGTAAAATGAATCGTATTCGTTCGGATAACAGCAATGTATCGCAAGCGACAACGTCGACAGTTTGGACGACGTCTGCTACATCGAGTACTACAAATTCAGGTACAATTTCTTTCGCTACTCGTTTTTTTGCATTTAGTGATAAATATCCAAATATAATTTTTTCCATCGTTTTTTTATAAAATAGATTGAGGCTTCACTTGTGCTATTAATATTTGGATATTATCACAGAAAATAAGGAAGAATTTAAAGTGATTACTTTAAAGTGAATAAAGAAAGGTTTAATCTATGCATATTCGTTCCATTATTCACTAGTTGTGTAGCTTATTGTTTAACTTTTATTTTTATTCAGAACAGCTGGAAAGAGAATACTTAAAATTATATTATAGTTGTCAAATTATAACTTGGCTACCCACTATCTTGTAACATATTTATGAAAAGGTAGTTATAGAATGTACCTTCGATTTTGAATAGGTTGCAACTAATTTACTTCAATTGTTGATTTCGAATTTTAATTCACAAAGCGTGGTGTTTCCAAAAATATCAATAAGAATTCTTGTAAAAAAATATCATTTTATAGCTTCATGGTCAGGTTGCATGGAAGGTCAAACCTCACAGCAGCTGCATACAGGTTCAGTGCAGACACCGATTGCAGTCTCATCACTACATTTTGAACCGTATTACATTCCTTCCACGATGCATGCTGTACACGGAACATTGCAACCATCGGACTATCAACTACGTAAAGTAAGTAGTGAACCGAATTTGAAGATGCGAATTCGTGCAAAACTCCTTAATAAAAGTGCTGGCCCATTGCAGTCCCAAAGCAGTGCTTTTACATTCACACAGCGAAACTCTCAAAGGTACTTTTTCTTTAACATTTGCTTTTTGTATTCTACTGTTTTAAAAATTTTTTAATTTGTCGATTTCACTACTTAATGAAAAATGATAAATATTTACGTCACACTTTGAGTCACAGTGACATTTTCTATTCATTCTTGTTTCTTTTACTAATTTCTTTTTGAATAAAAAATTCGACAGAGTTACTAAAAAGAATTATGTTCTTATTTGTAGTGATACACCGATGGATACTGACCTTTGCGGTAGCACATCTTCTACTGATTCGCCTACTACGCTGTTAACGACATCTCCTCATTTGATAATTCCTTCACCATCTTTACCGAACCTTGCTTCACCAGCACAGATACCGATGGATATGTCGGCATTGCTTGCACAAGTTTTGTATTCACCATTTTTGTCGATGCCATCACTTATCGCAAGTAACCAGTTGCAGCCGTCATTCTCAGTGGTTGATTCAGGACTTAATTCAAGTAGCACATTAAGTGGTATGGTATTGTTATCACTTTTTTTTGGTAATATTCGTTATTTATGGCTAATGATTTGCTGCTTAATGATAATTTCAGCTTTTTTCTTTTTGCTTAATACTTTTTCTTTTATTATTTTATTTCTTCTTCAATCGTTTTTTAACATTTCTTTTTCTAACTTATATATTATGGTTATTTCTCATGTAATATGAAGTTAGATTTTAGAAGAAGCAGTACGTCATTTCTAACTTATATATTATGGTTATTTCTCATGTAATATGAAGTTAGATTTTAGAAGGAGCAGTACGTCAACCCGTGAAGTTTGATACCCGGAATCAGAGTACACTGTTATCACTTAGTGGTTATCCGTCGCTGCTGAAACAACAATTACGTGATTTAGTACTCAGACGAAAATCTTTGGTTCGTGAAGAGCCGGAAGATGAGGGTGCTCTTGAAGCACAACTTTTATTACGTCTGCAAAGTGGATCAGTATCGAGTACGCAATTGAAGACAGGTATTTTAAGAAAAGCCGAAAATTTTATTGTTTTCAATTATGGTTCTTTGACTAAGTTCTTAATGTAGAAAACTGATTTTTAAATAGTGAATGTCAGTCAGTATTATGAAAAAGTTACATCATCAGCAAGTTTGGTTTACCGAATTAGGCAGGCTTACGTCGTCATTTTAGATTATCATAAATTTACCCGAGTAATATTAACATGCAACTTCCATTTTGCTTGATAAAGCTTAGATTTTCTGCGTACTTTGGTATAGCATTTTAATATACTAAATTATAAAATGAAAACAACATATGTGATTCTTCATTTGTAAACAGTGTAATGACTTAGTGATTTATTCCTTATAACAAGTAACATGATCTAAATTTAAATCCACTAACAGCAATTAATTGGACTTCTAGAATATCAAGAATTTCAGGTCAGAAAGATTTTTCGCTAACTATGGTATGATTTTGGTCATTTCAGGTTTGGTGTATGATCCAGCAATGGCAAGGCATCAATGCTTTTGTGGTAATAACAGGAATCACGTGGAACACGGTGAACGTGTGCAGTCGATTTGGTCACGATTACAAGAATGTGGTTTGGTTGAGAAATGTGAACGGGTGTTTGCTCGTAAAGCGCCGTTAGAAATGTTGAGAACCGTTCATGCCGCAACATATGTTACTTTTTTCGCTGTATCGCCCACAGCTTGCCTCAAAGTAAGATGTTTATTGAGCGTTATGCGAGTTTAAATTTTAAGATAAAATTGACAGAATTTTACAATTTTCACTATCAGATGTAATTTCTGTTCGATATGGATGTTGTGTATTCAAATTTAAATAATAGATCTGTCTGAAATCTCTGATCATCTTACCTATTAGTCATCTCTCTGAAGCTATATATCAATATGCTTAAATATGTCCTTGGTGGCATAATTCAGGAAATGTATCTGAACAGGAAATGATTTCAACATAAAATTAGGCTATCCTTTTTTCAGATGGAACCTTCACAGTTACCCGTAAAAAGTTTCGTGCAACTTTCTTGTGGTGGTATCGGGGTAGATTCAGACACTTATTTCAACGATGCTTCAACACAGTTAGCGGCACGCATTGCTGTTGGTTCTTTAGCTGAACTAGCGCTGCAGGTGCTTTTTTTTTTAAAAATATTTCAATGCATTTATTTTTATATGTCTATCACCTTTATATTATAATAAAAATAAGTAGACAACATTAGATAATTAACTTTATTTTCATTTGTAAGAATGAGACTTTGAGGAAAGCATTTTTTTATAAAATTGAAATTCAATATATACCTGCTAAATACATATAGGTAGCAGAATCAAGGCTGCGAAATGGCTTTGCATGCATAAGGCCTCCAGGACATCATGCTGAATATAATCAAGCAATGGGCTTTTGCTTTTTGAATAATGTTGCAATTACCGTTAAATATTTGCAACAGGTATTTTTTAATGCAAATACTTTGAGATTTTTAAAAAATAATGCTCTAGTTAACATGGTCATTTCTGTTATGATTTTAATCATTTTTGAATCTTCAGTTTTAATTTGTATGTTCAAATTTTATCCGTGATTTGCCGAACCATTTGCACTTATTATACATTTTTTTTATTAGTTATTACTTTAGCGATGTGCTGAGCAGTGTTCACGAATAGCAATAATTGATTGGGATGTTCATCACGGCAACGGTACACAGATTTGCTTTGAAGCTGATCCTTCGGTACTCTATTTATCTCTTCATCGTCACGATAATGGTAACTTTTTTCCGGGTACTGGAGCTGTTACCGAGGTTAGTGATTCTTATTAAAATTACTAGACTTGTCCAAAAATGGAGCGCTTTTCTCATGGGTTTCTGATATGTCAGCAACATTTTCACCACTTTGTTTCTTCAATTTGGTAATTGAAAAGTTTTTAAGCAACTTTTTTAAATATGAGATGTTTTGTTGGGAAGTAATTATCAATTTTTTCATCATTTAAATTCATAAAATTAATTATTCTAGATAGGCGTTGGATCGGGTAAAGGTTATACGGTGAATATACCATTTTCGGGTGAAATGATGGATGACGCTGATTATTTGGCGGCATGGCGTGTTATTGTTGCGCCTATATTAAATCAGTTCAAACCGACGTTTATCATTGTTTCAGCTGGCTTTGACGCTGCGTATGGACATTCTCAGGCTCTTGGAGGGTATGATTTTTCCATAACGTTGAATTTAGGCACTGATTCTTTTACAAAAAATAATAAATTTGAAAAAGTAAAGTGCCAGACGGTTTTGAATGAAAAGTTTTCCAAAGTTTACTAAATACCATTCAGATTGTTTTGTTGATTCATTTTGTTTCTTTTTATAGATATAATTTATCGCCTCAATTATTTGGCTATTTTACGCGGCAACTAATGAATTACGCTGGTGGACGTGTTGTACTTGCGTTGGAGGGTGGCTACGATCTTCAAACTATATCTGATTCGGCTGAAGAATGTGTTAAGGTAGCTTTTTATCGTGCCTGCTTTTTGGTTCTGTTTAAAAGGCATTGTTGCTCATTCGAGTTTAGTATGCAATCATCTGGTAAATTTTGGAGTTGCAACAAAATGTCTCATTTTTGCGAAATTAAATTTTCCACATGAAATACGTCGTATTATAGGCATTATGTGGTGAAAGTCCTGAGACAACCGGAAAATTGAGCGATGAAGCTTTGAATGCATTTCCCAAACAGAGTGCACAAGAAACAATACAAAAGGTTCATATACGAATTCTTATTTATTTTTTGCTTCTGTATTTTTTCTAAACATTCTTTCGTCTGATTATTGCGGTAAATTAGTTCTTATTTAGCATTAAAGCATATCTGGTCGTGTCCAATGTAATTTTTTATTAATTTAACAAATAAACTTCAGTTTAAAAATGAGAAAAAGTTTGTCATGAAACTGATGTAAAAATATTTTTGCGTATGTTTGAAACGCCATTAACTATGGGATGTTCTGCTTTCGTATTTCAGGTAATCGCCATTCATAAAAAGCACTGGCCATCGTTAACAGCGGCACAGGGCATTGGAAGCAGTGAACTTCAGTGGCAAGCAGTGGCGCAAAAATTTGCTTCTCTGTCTGTTTGAATGAAAAAGCGTTTTTAATAAATTGTTCAGGTTTAATTTTCAAATTTCGAAAATGTGTTCGGTGTATTTTTTGTGTATTCATAATATGATTTTCACTGTGTGAATATACTTGGCGAAATCAGTAAAGATAGGGGAAAATTGGAAATTGGGCTTAAAAATAGAGAATAGGGCAAATTCAGGTTTTTAAATAATAAAACCGCAATCACTTGCACTTTTTTATTGTTGCTTATGTTGTGACAATAAAGAAGTTGGGGAAAGGAAAAAACATTTGCGTCTATTTAGCAGGACATTTTTTCGGGAGAAATGCATCTGAGTCATCAATTATTTAAATATGAATTTGTAATTTAATTGAATTCGAAACCAAATTTATTCTCTCGAAGTATCATGAGTGATATTCTTAATTAGATCTCGTAACTCGAGGTACTGAAGGTCGTGTGTGCTTGGTGACATTGGTTGCACTATTCATCTTTGTGGGTTTTGTGACCTTTGACTCATTTTTGTAATAGTATTTTTTTTGAACTGTAAAAATTTCTTCCGTTAGGTGATATATAACTTTTGCCTAAATTTCGGACTGGAACTTGTTCAAAACTTGTGATTTTCAGAATATTTTGCAGAAAAGTTGCAGGTTACAAAGTTCAAAACTGATCAGTAATTTGAAAGGTGCATTTTGATATAATCCCTTTTCTATTTTTGTATGTTTCTCTATATGATTGTTTTGCATATTGATTTGTGTGCATAATTTTTGTAATTATCTGTTGCACAAAGAATGTTATTTTAGGTGAGGAAAGAGGGTTGCATTTTATTTCTTTGGTAGTATGAACTGTCAGTTAATTCAAAATTTTTAAAAATTGTTTATTTTAAATTTTGAGTTGATCATTGCGCATTTTTCTAAAGCGAATTGTGAGTTGAAATTCGAAAACGGTGTTATATTTGTTGATTCATTGAATTTGATGATTGTTTGGTATTCTCATTTTTTAAATTGAAAGCGAACGGGTTTGTGATAATAACTTTGGCCTCCTTGTCCACGGATGATAAGCGGGTATTTCTGTTCACAGTTATAATATTTATAGCAATGCATTTATTTGGATACTATTATTGTTTAAATTTGCTTTTCGATTTCATTTCTCATTGATGTGATTAAATTATGACATTTTATTTGTCATCAGTAATAAATAATGCTGATATGTTTAATGATAAACAGTGACAGTTTAATTATGATTGATCAAGAAAACAACAGACTGCAGAATAAAATACTCTTACATAAATTGCAGAATAAAAACACTATAAGTAACTTCCAAACCAAGTTCGAAAAATTTGAACAAATATAGGGAAATAACTATCAATGACAATAGTAATGATAACGCTGGAGCAATAATTATAGCCGTGAAGCGAATTGATGAGCTGCTGAATGAAGCTTTCTTTAAAAGAAGTTTTGGTGGTAGGCGCTAATATGAGGTAAAGTTTGGAAAACGAATGGTTTTGCCTCAGTTTTTTCTTTTAGGTTCTATATTCAATTCTTTGACTTCTGGGAAATGAAGAAAATAATAAGAATTTCTTCTGGTATCTCTCAGGAAGTTGGTTAAAGTATATTGTAGTGGGCTCTGTTCATCCATGTCTGTTTTTTGGAAGGTTTTTTTTATAATTTGGGAATGGATGGACGGAATTTACAAAATAAATGCTGGTGATCTGAGGTATAAACCAATCATATGAATCATATTTTGATTATGAATATAAATTTGATTAGGAAAGGAAGAGATATCGAATGAATGATTTATAAAATTTTGTGTTTGAGAGTAAAAGTCATAATCGCCATGAAATTTGAGCATTCATGATAAGCAGTAATATATAGTGTAATAACAATTAATATTCGAAAATGATTTGACCTTTAGACTATTGGATTGATTATTCATAGGCTTTCAGTGATCTAAATGGAATTAATAAAATACAGGAACATGATGAACACCTAAATTGAAATTCAGATAATCAAAAAAAAGACAAAGCTTTAAAATTTAATTCGAAAAAACTCCACATAATTTTTCAAATGTTCAGAACAAAGTCTCTAAGACTTGAAAAATCTTAAAATTTTAAAAATATTTCTTGCTGTTCTGGTTTATCTTTCACATACCTCTCACTAATAGAAGTCATTTCACAAACAGCTAAATTCTCATTTGAAAATGTGCCCATTGTTCGCTTACATAAATGTTTCTCCTATGAAATATCTAATCTTATGACTTGAAAATCAAGCCAAGCATTATTTCATCTGATCTGACAAAAAATTTATGCCAGTGGTAATACAGATTAAAATGAGCAAAACGAAACAAAATTTATTGAAAATTTACTATGAATCAAAAATATGTGTTCAAAATTTATTAGCATACGAGAAATAAATAAAACGTAACATTTCGTATTTACCAAATCTATATTCGCAATCATTAAATAAATATTTTCTTAATTCCTGACTAGATAATTTCAACTATATCCGGCAATTCATACTGTTCACTTGCCATTTCTTTCTAAGAATATTCGCAAGCTTCGAATGTATGAAAATCTCATCACTTTAATGCTATGATTTTGGTATAATAAGCTTATTTTTGAAGATCTGATGAGTCATAATAGGAGCAACCTGAATCATCCATAAGCGCACCTTCTCATTAATGGCATCTTTGTTCAGCTTGAAAGATGTCTGAAAGTTCTTCCGCATTGAGATCGTACAGCGCGTATTTATCAATTTTTATGACAATTCCAAAAAAAAAAAAAACAAATAAAATAAAATAAAAAATGTATTATTTTTTTTATAAATATTGTTAAAACACAAATATCGCTTTTCTATTCTCATTCCCACTTCCTTATTCGCATAGCATCACGAATTTTTTTCTTTTATGAAAACCGCTCGCTCATATCAAAATGACTTTAACACATATCATTGTCAAATTTGGATGACTTTTTCTTCAGCACTTATGCCAAATTGTTATTATATCACATTGCATAATTCCTCTCACTTTTCAGAAGTGTTTGAATTTCGCATTCTTTTAAAAAATTAATCGAAGAATTTTAGCTTAAATTTTACAATCATCTCAGCACAATGAATTCCAATACGAAGAAATATATTTCTTTTGTCTCAAATTTTCTTATACTTCCGATCTATTCGGACTTTTAGGTGCTCTATACTTGTAAAAATAATATATTTCATTATTAATCTATTAAATACAGTGCAATATATTTAATGTTCTTTGAATTAACCAAAAAAAAAGGATTATTTAATTAATTGGAGATTCACTTCCTCTAGTGCTTTATTCTTGCGCAACTTTTGAACATCATCTCAAGAAACTCTTGGCATAATTGCGATTTCCTAATAATTCAAAAATTTCTTTGCTAATTTTCAAAATAGATAAAACATTGCAACCTTTTTCTTATCCAAAGAATTGAATGCCAAAATTGAAAGAAAGATTTAGCAAATGTTTCTGCTAGCTGTTTCATAATTCCGTGAAATAGGTAATAAGCATTTTGGATTAGTTGGAAACATTAGTTTGTACATTTATCGATGAGATCTTACATTGATAATTGAAAGATTGAAGCGAATTATATTTCAATTGGGACATTGTTTTGTGATTAAAGGAATGAATGCAAAAATCATTCTGATAGTTTTTGTTATTGATATTACAAGCTTACATGCCTGTGGACCGTTCACACCGAGACATACCGGTAAGTTCCACTTTCATTATTTTCAATCAATTTATTGATTTCTTTAGTAAACATTAGTTATTAAGCAGTCATTCACTTTACTGATCATTTACTGATTAAATTATCTTATCATTTTAACATATTTGCTAATGAATGCTTTTTTCTTCTGTACACTTGCAATTTCAAAAAAACACGCATCACAAAGCAATCTTCTACAGTCTGAACTGCCTTCTTCATGTTTTATTAATTCTAAAAGCTGATCTGTGTTTTTTTTTTAACGACAGTATTTTGCAGCATGTCGAAATTGCAATCTTTTCGAGACAAACATAAAAAGAAGAGACTCTTTCAATTTATCCGTGGAAAAAATAACGATGTCGTACGGCGTGAATACTGATGGATGCAAATTTGCAACATTGCAGTGCTCGAATCCCGCGGCAAAAGACATTTTGATAGAGGTAAATGTTTTTCATTTAGTGATAATTTTTCAGATATATTTTATCTGTTGATAGTCAAATACCGTTGTTTGATATTTTGAGTGTGCTGGTCTTGTTTGTGGTGCAAACGATGACAGATAAGGATGATTTTGCAAAGGACGACTTTATTGTTTCAATTTTTAATCCTTACCGTTAACAACAGCACCATAAAAATAAATGGGCAATATTTATTTGAAAATTATGAACTTACGCATACAACGTAATTTATGGCATTGCGGACCGATTTGATTGGATCGTTCAAATTATGAATTTATAATAGCAGTTATAAAAGTGACATTTTGTTTACAGTTTTATAGAAAATTATTCCACTTCAAATATATCAAAATTTTTATTTATACCTCGGTTATTTCTTTCAATATTTCAGTTATGAAAGCTTTCACACATACATGCAAATATAAGTTGTATATTGGTGATAAATTATAATAATATCAGTTACAGTGGTATGGTCCATTTGATAGAAGTCTCGGAATTACTGGTCCGGTTAAATATACTAACAAAGTAATTGCTTTAATCACCTGCAATCAACATTCTGAATGGACTTTCACGGAGAATGATAAAACTGAGGTTATTCAATCAGCAACATGTGAATATATACAATAATTGTGCTTATTAAATAATCGTTCATAATTGGAATTTCAAATTAGTAATCAGATATTGTTTTTAAAAATTCGTATCTTAATGGAATGGCATGTTGTTTAAGGAATCAGAGCAATTTTGACCGTGACAATTCTGCTTAAATATCATAATTCTATCGCTATCTTACCATCGGATGAGTACAGAATTTATTTAAAATTCAAAGAAGCTTCACTCATTCTACTATAAAGCTACAAAATACATTGCCCATCATGTTTGTTGCAAACAGTAAATGAGAAATCGAGAGCTAATTTTTTAGCCCCAAACGAAGATAAAGTTCATATTAGATTCAAACAAAATGGTTTAATTTATTTGCAAAGAGTAAAGTGATGAAAGCGCAATTGACAGTGTAAGTATTCGTGTAAACTTCGCTATTTTTTTTAGCTAATGTGTCAAACAATTGTTGTGTACTTACATTGGAAGTCAATAGATAGCAAATGATAATGCATTATTGAAATAAAATATCATTCTTGCTGTCACTGAAAGTCATTTCCACTTACATATTTCAAATATTTGTTTACATTAAATTAGTGAAATTACTTTTGAAGTCAAAAGCTAAGACCATTTCATTGAGATTTTCTCGAAATGCTAGCAGTTGTTTATGACAAATTTGTACTTAGGTTTGTTTTTGTAACCACACGTAAATCTCGACCAGGTGAAATTAAAGAAGTAAAAGCTTACATAATAATTACACAATAATTAATATTACATAATAACCTTGATAAAAATGTGGAAGAGATAAACTCTAAATCAAAGAAAAGAAAGAAAAAAAGGATTGAAAGAACTAAATTAGTAGGTGTATTATGGTGTAATATTTTCCAATATAATTTTCGACATTATATACATCTTTCTCTTTTCTAATCTCTCTTGTTCTCTCCGATGAAATATATAGCAAACTGGATGGCTTTAAGTTGCATTTTCATCTTCTCTTCTAATAATTATTGCTTCAGCAATTACAAACACTCTAATCGAGAAAGCAAAAATAGGTCGGAAATGTACTACATTGAATTTGATTTCAGCAGACAAACTCAAATGGATTTTATCACTTCGAGATCACTATCTTTGAATTTCCTATTGCAACTCTGCTCACTTCGTTCATTTCCAAACGATTGTCCATTTTGTTGTGCTCATCATTATCATCGCTGATATGAATTCCTGCAATTGTACAAAATTTTTTTAAACTAAAATTCCAACTCTGTACATAAGAAATCTTATCAGTGAAACAAATAATTGCCAGAATATTAATCAGTTATTTCAGAGTGTACAACAATTAAAATAAGTTGATGAGTTTTTATCGTCATAGTGATAAGTCATTCTAACTTTAACAAGTAATAATACAAACCTAAGGAGTGAATGAATAATTTCAAAAGTATTCTTCCATTCCTGAGTTATATGGCGCCTTTGACCTTTATCTACGTCAGATGCTATTATCATCATCCATCAAGCTAACTAATACATAATTGTTGATTTCAGCCTTGTTTCGAGTTGTGACACTATTTCAAAATAACCATATTTGTTTGATTTAACTATTGGTTAAATTTTAAGACATCTCTGCCACAGTAATCATTTCGAATCCACAATACGGTATTTATTTACATCAGAAATAAGCTATCTAATTTATGCAATATATGACCCAAGTAAACAACAAAAAAAATTGTTAATAAATAAAAGAATACCGAGAGTTAAGTAATAAAACCAAGTACCAAATGCTGCACCGACAAATGGGACGAAGATTGGTATCAAGAACCATTTGTACTCTCGGAAGCTAAAAAAAACAAATGGATTAGAAGTTTGTGTAGAAATTCTAGAATATATTAGAAAAGTTAAAGAACTTTCGGGTCAAAAATGCTCTCAGTTTTAGATAGAATCAATATAATTAAGGAAAGAATATTCCTTAAAGCAATGTTAGTACCACCGGTGTGTTAACTAAATCTAATTTATTTTATCTAATTAAACTAACTTATCAAACTTATGTAATAATTTTGGCTAATTAATGAAAAATCAAAGAAGAGAACCTGAAAACATCCCAGCCATAACCGACACTGACAGCCATAAGTTTTGGTGCAAGATCTCTTGCCGGATTAATCTCACCGCCTGCATTTTCACTAACACATGCAGCAACCACAACGATAGTCATACTGAGAATCATTGGTTGAGCTGCCGGTGGAATTTTATTTCGTGGTTCGCTGAATATCATTATGCAAAAACTAAGAAGTGCTGTACCGACGAACTAAAATGTGATGCATTATATCATAGTATAGTGGAAATTCTTTAATTATGCTAAGAATTTATACAAAAAAAATTTTTTTTTTAAATTTTTTAAAATGGAGCGCTAATGTACATATATTAACGAAGATGCAGCCAGAAATGCTCAAATATTCCTGTGGCCAAGGAACAAATATTCCAATTGTTAGAGTGCTTGAATTTCTAACATTTCTAATTATTTTCTCTATCTTAAAATTGAATAATATCTTACTTTCAAAAAAAAATGAAAAAAATAAGGAAAAACCTGATCGAAGATGCAGCCAGAAATGCTCAAATATTCCTGTGGCCAAGGAACAAATATTCCAATTGTTGCTTTTGGTCCAGTAGTTTGCCGATTACCGTCATCAAAATGATTGATTCCATCTGCAGAAGAAAAAAATTATACATAAAAGCAGTTATAAACAAACACATATAAACATTCATAAACATTACGCTAAAAGGAAAGATTGATCATTTTTAAAATAGAACAAGAAAGATGTGGAGTTTTATTTTCATTAATTATCATTATCATTGAGAATTTGCTTTTACTAAAAAGATTACATCTATAAAATAGAAATCAAATCCGGCTAATATTCCCAGATTTATTTAGCTGAATGAAAATAAACTTTATGAAAATTGATGTAAACTATTCAAGCTATTTAACATTAGTCATTGTTTATCGTACCCCTTCTCTTCTCTATCAGTGCGGAATTTTCATCGCATTTACACAGTGCCATAACCTTAAACTTTATTATCAGTAAAAATACTAACCGTAATAAAGGAAGAAAGTGAGAAAACTGCCCGCAAGTGCACCAAATAACTGAGCAATTGAATACATTATGAACTTAAATGCTGATAAATTGCCACAAAGATAAAAAGCGAACGATATTGCCGGATTCATATGTCCTCCTATAAAATTTAATATTTAATTATGTATATCAAATGATTTCACGATGAAGTTTTAATTTAAATGATAATAGCAAAAAAACAACTGATCAATTGAATACATTATAAACTTAAATGCTAATGTCCAGTTAAAAATGATAATTAAGCAGTCTGAATATTCAGTATGCTAAACAAATTAGATCATATAAAATCGAAGTGATTTTTGAAATTCGGCTAATATTCCCAACCGATTTTAGTTGAATGAAAATAAACTTTATGAAAATGGACATAAATTATTCAAGCTACATAATGTTAACCAGTATTCGTTTTATGATAAAATTCATCTGAACATTTCGATACGATTGTTGAAAGAGTGGAAAATTGCCGAGAATGATTGCACTACGGGATAGGCTGAATGAGAAGATTAAATAGTTAAAGTTAGTGGTTGATACTTTGAATATTTTTAGAACATATAAACAATAAAGTAACGTTAAATAGCTGAAAGCTGAAAACTTTACAATCTCACAATTTGAATATTCAAATTGAAAACCATGTAAAATATCAAATCCTTTTGAAAACATACCAGATAAACGACCAGCTGCAAAAGCACCGAGGCCTATTCCAAAAGCCCATCCAAGCATTACACAAATTTTGCAATTAGAACCTCCGAGTAGATTACTTGCATTTGCTGAGGTACCAGCAAACTAAAACTGTCATCATTGTAATATATTTAACAAAAAGCGACAAACTCGCTTTTGTAATTGTTGACCTGCGGATGATAAAATTCGGAATGAAATAAATGAAGAATTGTTCAAAAAATTAAACATATCATTTAAAAGAAATCATAATATTCTCTGATTTACGATAAATGATCAGATTCTTATTATCTGTTTGGGATATCATCTAACTAAGTGTTTCCGATGATCGTACTTTGTGCAACATATAAAGTCGGTTACTGAAATTTTTTCTACAGGTATTGAGATTTTTTTTTTTGCATTTTCTTTTTATTGCTATTGTTACTCTTTATGAATATAATAAAAAAACGTAATGATAAATAATAATTTTATAGAAAGAACTTTAGTTTGTAGAAAATAAAATGGAAACATTGAGAGTAATCAAAATATTCTCTTTGTAAGGGAATGATCGAAAATAAATTTTGATGTCTTAAAAATTCCATCTATCTTGAGATAGTTTAATATTTTAAAGAAAATCTTATACAATTCATTTAGAATTTGACTTCATTTTCAATTGTAATATTTAAAGTTGCATTGGAAGATTATTAGAGCAAATAGTTTATGAAGTTGCAATTTTGTTTTGTCGGAATTTAACACATCGAGGACATTAATCCATTTGAACAACAATATCGTAATTGAATTAGTAAAATGTAAATGCGATGATTGAGAGTTCATATTCCATGAATGCATGATTTTTTTTGTGTTTCTCGTAAAAAAAATTCATAAAAATAGCGGAAGATTTTACCAACAAAAAAGCAGTACTGATGAATTCGGATAGAAGACATCGCATCAGATCATTACGAAGTCGTAATTTATTTCGTACTATGGCAATATTATCCATTATAATTATTGCTCCAATTCTGAGCTGTATTTGATTTTTTTGCTTTATTCTAGAAATTAAAATTATTCGTAGATATGAAATTGATTCAGTTGTTACGAGAGTTGTTTGGTATTTTATGCAAATCTAGCATGTTAAAGATATCGAGATATCCTGGGAAGAAGTAAAACAAAACGCATTCTCTATCACCCTCCTTGTTTCCTAGAAACAGTGCATCATAGTAGTTATTTTTCACATAAATAACAATTGAATATATTTTTGAAAATTCAAAATTGGATTTTCAAACAATTTTACATCTATATTTGTAATAAAACTTTCTCGATATTAATTATAACTGGTTATAACAGTATTTTCTGTCTTTTGGTAAAAGATACAAAAATTAAACGGGATGCATTCACTAGAAATTACCAAATAACGTCACAAATTTTAACAAATAGTGAACAAAAAAAATTTATTTCCTTTATAAAACAACAATATCATAAAACTGTCTCTTTCAATATATTTTTATAGCCAAAAAAAAAACGATTTCAAAAGAATAATAAATTATGACTGATTATAACAGTATCTTCTACTTCTTTCTTGATATTAAAAAAAGAAAAAGAAAACTAAAAGGTTGCAACGTCACCTGTTGCCCCCTTCCTTTTCCTTCCCTGTTCTATACGTGCGATATTTTGTGACACTAAAATGGAAGCTGATTATTGCCTTATTTTCAACTGGTTCAATTTTTTTTTTTTTGAATTTTTTTTATCAAGAGAGGGAGGTGAGTTTTATTCATTCTTGATCATCCCTACCTATTTTGTATATAATTTGCTGTTGTAAGGACAAAAAAAGAAAAAAGAAGAAAAAGACTTTTGCGATACTTTTCCTCTATTTCAGAATGGTAATGCAATGTTTTGAAAAGTGTGATTTAACATATCCAACAATTTGTTCATTATAATGACAAAGAGTGCAAGTGAATAATTAATTAATTTTATATCGAATAACAATAATTCCTACATTATGCAGCACTAGAAGTGATCATTGATCAATTAAGCTTATTAATTTTCAATTTAAGACTTTAGAAATGACGAAAGATGGCTAGTATTTTTGCTAACCTTAAACGAATTAATAAAGAAAATTTGATTATAACAAACTTTTTAGTTAAACTATATATTTTTTCACCACTAATAGATTTTTTACTATCTCTATATTTCAGCAATGATAATTAAATTCATATTTGCATCATTTCTTTTAGAATATTAGATTATCCGGCTCATTCCCAATTCATATAATTTTTTTTTAAAAGTAAATCGTATGTGATGTCACTGGGACATAGAACCGCATACATTCATTTTAAGCCAAATTCAAAAATAAAAAATCAAAACAGATTTTAGAATATCAGGTTATTCGGATCACCTGTTTTTAACTCTCACTTATCATTTTTGTCCTTTTGAAAATCGGGTAAGTTGCTATTTTTTTATTTACATAGTCACCAATCGGTAACGCACCACAACAGTTAAGCAAATGTATCCCGAATAGAAGAATTAAGAGAGATTCTTTCAATTGTGATTTATATATCTTTATTGAAATTAATTTAAATATATTTTATTTTCAACTAATTGTTCCCATGAAAAGATTGTAATACAAATATAAATTTATTCCTTGCCTTTTCCATTGTCTGTGAAAGAATTAAAGTTGACCAGTCATACGTTGTCTACTCTCTAAGGCAAAACATCGATTTCGAAAACTCAAAATGGTTTACTTTATTAATTGAAGTATTTAGAGAAAACTGCTTTATATAACATTTCTAACTTATAATTTATCCTTACAGGGTTCCGAATTATCCACAGGTGGTTATCTTTTGGTTGCTAAAAAGATTCGATATGAGAAATGTTTGTGCTGTCGTATCACTGTATGAATATTTTTTATTTCAAATTTCAATACAAAGAAAAATGAACTTCAAAGAACTAAAAAAAAGAATTTTCATAGCAAAAAAAACCAATGAAAAAAAAAAATGTTTGTTACAACGAAAATTTTATTTTATACCACATCTGAAATGAATTTTTTAAATTTGATATTGTTGCTGAGTATTTGTCCACCAATTACGTAAGAGATCAGATTTTGAAATTTTACATTATAAAAAATATTACTGACATTTACTTAATGAATCATTTACTTTCTGTAAGCAAAGGATCTGGGCAAATTATGAAATCATACTTAAACATCTTCTTTCCTATATGCATATATACATATGTAAAACTTTAGAAGAAAATTATTCTTATCACAAAGTACATTGTATCATTGCTAGACCTAAATTATTAAGCTTATCACTAGAATAATTAATTCTAATAATGATTAGCTTTAATTACCGTTTCACCTCTTAAATTTCAATAAAACAAAACAAATATGTCTTTTTTTGAGACAGCAATGTATGCAGTACAATTTTTATATATTCTGGCACTTTCTGTAATGCTTATTGCGATATATACTGCTCACGGCTTCACAGTTAATGCTATACCAAATTTAATATATATTATTGTTTTGGTTGCAGTGGAAATTTCGGCAATTTTTGCCATAGTAAAACAATGGGCGCTCTTTATAATACCATTTATAATTCTACTTGTAAGATTTATATCTGAAATTATCAAAATAATAGTTAGTTATTTTGAAGTGGAAGATAAAAGAGATTTGAAACTTTTTTCTTTGAGAGCATTGAAATTCAAAATTAATTTTACCTCAATTTAACTTTTCAACCATAGCAAGTGCCCTTGTTCAATTTTCATTATCAATAAACGGCTCATATCACTCATCAAATGTTGCACAAATGCAATTTATGCTGAAAATTTCTTTTATATTGGAGTATTGAGAGAAGGTACTTTAGAAAGCTTGGATAGTATACGTGACAGCATAGGTATACGTGATAGTATACGTGAAGCGTTCCCTCCGAAGATCTTAGAGCAATGGAAACGTCATGCCAAATTCTGTAATTCAACCTAAAATTATACGCAGCATTTAGTATTTCATAATGTAATAGAAATAAAGTATTCTGTGATCAAGAATGTTGAAGTGATTGGATTTTTCCTCATATTAAACTCTCCATAATCCGTCCAATGGCAAGTGCCAGTTTTTAATAACACAGAAAAGATCAAAAATAATGTTGGCAGAAATTTTTTCACTGGGAATTACGAAAGAGATGAATATGCTGAAAAAGGTAGACTATAATGAATTATTTTTAAATTCAGATATTTGTTACCGGATTATCCATTCTTCTATTTCTTTCCCGTGTTTATGTCTGGTTTCGTGATGGTGGTGAAAGTAAGCATTGTTGATGCTTTTATAAGTATATTAATAAAATTTTTTAATTTTTTAAATCAACTTTTTAAATTTTAGGAATCTTTGATGAAACAATTTTTCGGACTTAAAACTTTTCCTTTTTTAAGATTTTTCTTATTACAACATTGCTATAAACCAATTGTAGAATCTGATCTGTATCTAACAATAATATCAAATAGTATAATTATGATTATTTATGTATTCGCGTTAATTGTATCAATACGATGGAGAAAATATATGATTGGATTGAAAGTAGTGAAATTTGGATAAATAACTTATTTTGTTTATTGTAAATACTACAAATCCTATTTTATGTTGTTCTTTTTATTGGAATAACAAGTAAAAGGTTTAATGTTCATCGTGTAAACGAAATATTTTCTTTTGTTGTAATTTCAAAGACCAAATTACATTAATCGCTCATTCGTCATCAGTTGACGATGACAGCATTTATCAGTCACGCTCGAAAATAAACTTGAAACAATCCATTATTTGATGAATTATTTTGTAACATGCCGTAAAGAATGCAACTTTTTTATGGATGAATTTAGCTTTTGAATGCACTTTTCTTTTTTGTTATTTATTCAACACCTTTATTCGAAAAGAAAAAAGAAATTCACAAAATAATCTAACATTTGCAATGGCACTTTTGATAAGTTGCATTATAATGGTTCATTTTCTTTGAATGTAAATTGAAAATTAAACATTTTGAAACATACAAAGCTTCTAGTTTGATGATAGTATTTGAAGTTGGCAATAGAATGAAAATACAGAAGTAAACTATCACATTTCTAACAATGTGAACAAATGATGTCAAAATCATAGATGAATTGAATGAAGTAATTGATATGCTAATGCAATAAATTTATCAGAATTGATAGGCACATTGAATAGTCCAACCAAATTTTGAAATGAGGAAAAAATTGTTGAAACTTTCATCGCCGTTTCACTTTCTCACAACATTTTATGTCAATGATTTCTCATTTGTGGTGTGTGATCTGTTCTGTTTCAGTTTGCACTTCATTTCACGTATTTTTTAATACACATTCTCTTATCGAGCAATTCGCCACAATTTAACACACTGAGCGATAAACAAGTTCCAGGTATAGCAGTTTATTTTACCGAATAATGATCAAACTGGTAATATTCAAGGAAATACATTTCATTTACTGTTTTCAAAATGTTTCACTCTGATCGTTCAACTACATTTATACATTCATCACTCGAAAAGAATAATTTTAAGAAAGAAAAAAAATATCATTACGACCGATGACAATGTCTTTCCATTCCAATCAACAAAGGAAAAAAAAATTTATTCCAAACAACGGAATATATTCAATGAAAAGATAACCATCGAAAATTTCATTTTATGAATAAAGGCGAGATATTGTTTGGAAAGAAACCAAATTATTTTCTTTGAACTATAAGTATATATCTTGAACTTCTTTTCAGTTTAATGTATTGCGCAATACCTTTATAACTCCAATTACAATACAATTGAATAGCTATAATGAATCACAGTAAGCATACTATTACAACAAAGTAATTATTTGAAGGAAATTGAAGATATTTAGTTATGAAATCATTTATTTTTCCTAGATATAAATATTGTAACACTCTAATTGGTGATATAAGCGCGTTTAGTGAAATCACAAATACTATAACATACAATTGTGGCCATATATTTCCTATTTTTTTGAAGTTTCTAAAAGAAATCCTATCCAAATCAAAAAAGTACAACCTCTGCTTATAAACAAAATTTGTAACATTAAGTGAGCCTTAACAATCTTCTCTTAGTGGCAATAAGAAGAACCTTAAAACAAAGAGTACCTATACTCATTAAAAAAGAAGCTAAGACAATTCTATTTATTTCCATTCATTGATGACCACCTCTCTACAAGTTAGCTGCTGTATTCATAGAATTTTTATTTAAAATGAAACAATTAATATCTAAGCAAGTTAAATTCTATTTGGGATTGCATTTCACAACAAAAATGTTGTTCATATTATAATTTTGTGAAAGCATAATTTTCTAATTGGATAAAACATCGAACAGAATGTTCAGAAAACAGAGACTAAATGTGCGATCAGGATCATATACTATCAAATGCAAAACGATACGTTTTTATTTTCGTTATAAAGTGAGAAGAGAGTCAATTAATAAAATAGTTTGTCCAATCATCGAAAGAATTATTTTACACAAAAATTTTTATGCTATTATTGGGCAAAAATTTTTTGTTAGTTGGTTAAATAAGTGTAAAGTGTTTCAGCATATTTCGAACTTTCAAAGAAGTTGGAAAATAAATTAAAAGAAATATTGTTTGTGTAAGATATTCAGAAATAACGTTCATAGTAGGACGCCTGATGTCCTACTGAAGGATGAAAAAAGCTAAAAGACTGAATGGTTACAATGAAGACCCTTTTCAAGTACGAAGTGTGTCACTGATTATTTTTTTTCGATATTTTCAAGAACACAGTATGATTATTTTATAGATCAAAAAGAAAAAATTTTCTCGCATGTAAAAAATAGAAAATTTTTTCTTTGAATCTGTCGCTACTAAACAAGAAATGTGTAATTCTAAACATAAAATATACTTTCCAAATCAGTAAAAGAAACTAAATGCAGAACTCCGTAGTAACCCGCACCATGTAAAATATGATGCAATTCGATTAATATCAATAAATCTATCGATCTTAAGCCAGTTTTTTGACCAGACTTTTATATTTTTTGCATCGTTGTAACCACATATGTCTCAATAAATGCACTGCCACTGTAAAAGTTAAAGTTTAATAAATGTCATATAAAGAGCAGAAAAGCTTACTTTGGAAATAAGATCGAACAAAATTTTCAGCAGAGGAGCTTGAATCTGATAGCAAATACTATGTATATAAACATGTTTCTACTTTTGATGACATTTTTGGCTCGAATGGTGTAAAAAGATTAAATGCTGATGCCTGTCAAGTACGAATATAAAAAAATAAAAACTACATGCGGAAATAATAGCAACTTGAACCACTGAGGAAAAATCGACAAATAATTAACAATTCAGTAAAAATTTATAACATTAAAGATCCCACGAACTTTGAATTAATTATCATTAACAACAATGTATGCCAAAATTGTTCGTTATTTCTAGAAAATCAAGTTTTAACCTTCAATTTCTTCTACTTCAAGAAATAGAGCTTACTTTAATAGCTATCACCATAAGAATAATAAATATGATCATAAGAAAACGTACCAAAAGGGAATATGAAGATAAAAAAGATTCCAAGAACAAAACTAAAATTGAAACCAATATTTGCGATATTAGGTAGTTTAACACTATATTTTCCAGTTCGATAGTAATAAGGAATAGATTGGTACATGGTTACTCCTAAAAAAATTAATGACTTTTACTAGATCTTTGCTGAAGCAATGAAAAAACTTTTCAATATTTCAAATTATATGCTAATGAAGTTTAAAGTATTTACAAATGGTTTTTTATCTCTCGGATTAATAAATATGGTGTAAAAATTTGAATATGTATAACTTTAAGCAAAATTAACTACAAAAAAAAGTTTAAAAATGCAGATGATTTTATGTCACTACATATTTTGCTTTACTATAGTCTGCAGCTAGTATTCTTGGCCTGTTATTATAAGCAAAGAAGGTCAAATGCTTTCACCTATGACATCTGTAACGAAACATCATGAGGGTGTTCTAAGAAGATAAAAGCTAAAAAGTAATGAAACCTTCGCGTTTCACTGTTTAAAAGGTAAAACTAGAAATAAATACGGTAAAGTAATCAATGTTAATAATCGAGTCATCAATATGAAATAAAACTGTTTAAAAAATTATGACAAATTACTGAAAACATATTACCTTCAAGAAATAAGCCAACCGGATAAAGCAACAGCCATGCATTGTACCGTAACCACGTAAGTAATGAAATTTCAATTTTCAAACTGCTGGCCGCATAATATGGATATCTAAAAATGCAGCTTTCCAAAAAATTGTTTTTCTATTAAGATCAAAAAAGAGATGAGCAAACATAGAGTCAAAAATTCACCGCAAGCAGCATTATTATCTCTCAATCTTACAAGATCGATATTAAATTCAGACTTGTTATTTCCCTAATATATCAAAAGTTGAAGTAGAACTGTCTCTCATTTGCATAGGTATATAATGTGGATAGGATTTATTATATTTTTAAAAAGTGAGAAAAGAATTAAAGAACTAAGATATTCATACATGGACTTTTTTTCGGGAAAAGGAACTTACCGGAAAATTTCAATCGAAAAATAAGCGATCATTAAAAGAAAAGTGGTCAATGAATTTTGCACATCTGGACAGCCATCAATAATATATATGATTGCTAAACGTCCACAAACCTATCAGAAATCAAAAATACACGCTAAGAATCAAGTATTGGGATAAATATCGGTAATTAATACATGAAAAGTTTTCTCGTCAGTAGTATTATAATTATAATACTACTAACGAGCCTTTACTACACTTACAGCAATTTTGACGCTAATTGGACTAAGAGGTTATTAATAATAAATGCAAAACATGTTCCAACCTGCACAAGCCCGACTCGGTAACTACCTTTTGTGAAACCGATCAGTGCATGTGCAACGTCAATTAGCTGTAAAGCTGTTGCAATTTTTATAATGTTAGCATTATTTTGCCAGAATGAGCTGTAATACTCTGAAAACGAATTTTATAAAATTTGATTACAATTTAATAAAGAAAAATTATTATATCAACTGTTTCTAAGGATTTATTAAACATCTTTGTGCTGTACCAAAAATAATGTATCTAAATTTTGACCTGTCTTCTATGTTTCTTCTTTAGCAACGAGAACTAATAACTATAAACAACAAAACAAGCTCACCATTCCCGTCAGAGGAGATTTTGAAGAGCAAAGTAAATAGCAAATACACATGAAGTATAAATAATGATACGTTGTATGCAGAAAGATAGTGAGTAAGCAAGTGATTACATTTCTTGGCGAATTGTTTTACTGAAATAAAATGCGGAAAATTTCACTGAAAAGACAGAAAAATAGTAATAAAAAGTAAGTATCCTCCTAAGCCAATGATGATGAAACCAAAACTTAAATTAGCAAAAATTGTAACCTTCATTGATAAATTCTGTTTCTGTTTTTGGCTTAGTGCGGCATTCTTTGAAAATGCGCTGTGTTATGGCATCCATCTCCGCTTCCGGTGTGCGCTATAAACACTTAAAATTACAATAAAAGTATGAAGCTTGTGAATTAGTAGAAATTAATGAAATTAAATTATCAATATTTCTCAATGAAAAAAAAACAGACCGCATTCATATTTATCATTTCATAATCTTCTGTTTCACTTTGATCTGGATCTTCGAATCGATCAAAATCGATCTTAAAAAAATGTCTTATTACAGTACAACAATACGGCACTCGATAAAATAGGTAATCATTAAGAAGCGCATTTTTCATTGTTTTTTGTCTCTTTTAAAATCGCTTTAGAATTCGCGCCAAACTGATGCTCTGAAGTGAAAAATTAAAGGAAAAGCTTAACTTTCCTTTCGTACTCAAAGTTTTATTGAAACCTGGAACCATATATTTGACTACTTAAGTTTTGCGTTCCATATAAGAATACAAGACACAGTTATATAAGCGTTTAAAATAGCACACAAAAATATAAAATCTAAAGTTTGCATACTCGAAGCCAAGAATATCGACTACTATCTTTCAAAACAGTAGGCCACCATATAGCATCCTTCTTCTTCAAAACATAAAACAATTTGCTTCCATTTTCCTGACCAATCTGAAAATAGAAATAAAATTATTGCTAGGGAAAAGCTACTAAATTGCCGCTAGTAATATCTTCTTAAAATTTAGATAGGATAGCAATAATTTACCGACGTAATACGTACGGGAAACATCAATAATTTAATTAATATAAAATCTCATTGTAATAATACCTTTTCCATCTCTACTTCTGCAAATAACGGCAAATTAAAGGAATATTCACATCGACCATGTGCACCGACTCCAGTGGCACTAAACTCAAATGCATTGCCTGCTATAGTATAATAGGCATCCTGCAAATAATTTTGGAAATAAACCCTCTGGAATATAAGCATAAAAATCCCAATTATTCTAATGCGGTTCTAATTAGCTTTAATTACTCACTAGTTACAGTTCAAGGTGTCAGATTTCTCTTCAAATCCTCTTCAAAATATAAATTGCAGTAAATTTGCAATCCTAAGAAGGATGCCATCCAAGTATTTATGAGTACATCTTATGTGGTACGAAAACAATCTCCATCAGCAGGAAGGAAGAAATTTTTCTTCCTCCCAATCATGTCATAAACCATTAATTCAGAGTGATTAGTCTGGGAAAAGTGGTAATCTACTACAATTATATTGAACTCTCTAAAAAAAGGAAGAAATAATCCAACCGATGAATCTTTTAAATCAATCGTTAAGAAAAGTAATCTTTCGTTCTGTGCCCAATAAACAAATGGACGCCGTGCCATAATCACTGATTCAGAGAAAATTCTTCAATATTAAATAAATTAAAATGCAAAAAGAAATAAAATTAACGAATTTCAAAAGAAAAGTACATATTTCAGTAACTATCTATTTACCTTCCATTAAAAACAAATTGAAATGGAATGTGAACGAATAGAAGTTATCACATACTTAATGATGGAAATCAACGATCGTTAAATATATAATTACATTTTTTGGAACAACCAAACTTCCCACTGATATTTAAATAAAAATAAAAAAAAAATTGCCAAATAATTATCCACTTCATTGATTTTAGCAATTCAAACGTCAACCTTTCACATGAGTTTTTCTGCCATTCACTGCATTTTATTCAATGCTGTCTTTTCAATTCTGCTTTCCTTAAAAATCATTTACGAGTGCTATTTCTTAAATCTTATTAATCTAAGGAAATATGCAAAATATTTGAGGATATATGCATGTCAAACTGTTCCGTTTAATTGTTAGGAACTGTTTACCAATATGCGAATCTTTAAACTGTTGGTTAAATCTGTTTCACATTATCTGATAAATATTATTGTTAGAATCGATTTAAATAGGTTATCGATTATAATATACCATAATATTTTGTTGATTAATAGCAGAATATAATATACCATATACGCCACAATGTAGGTCATCAATTGATCGGTAGGATAAATATTTGATATGTGGTAATGATCAGCATATTAGTAATTTAAACGACCATACATTTACGAAATTGCTTTATTTTAAAGTTGTTTATAAAAATTGTCTTCCATTGCTTTTGTCGTGAATATTTTTAATACATTGTTTTAATTATGGGATATACCATTTGATGCTGTACTTATGATTCGACGAGTTCGTAATCCGCACTCCATTTCCGAAAGATTTTACTAAGTTTAACTTATCATACTGTCGTGTTTACACACTCACGTTTGTTTTAAGTAATCATGCTTTTGCTTCAAATGATTGTCATTTCCATTAACGACATTAGTCCATGAAAAAATATGGTTGATTGTTGAAATTTTCAACAATCAACCATATTTTAAGTACTGAAAGTCCGTCTTTGAATAGAAGATTTTCCATCGTGTCTTAGACTTCTTTATCCAAATATTTGAAAGTTTATTTGATTTCTTTTCGAACAAGTAATATATAGTTCTCTTTTGAATTTCATTTCTATTCATTTACTATCGCACAAATATTTAACACATTTTTGAAATTCTCTTTTTGAAGGGAGCTTAATATGAAAAAGCAATTTCTGACTATTGCGATAACTTTCTTGAAATTTGCTTTCTGACTTGACACTTTATCCAAGCTTTTTACTAGCAAATTTACGGAAAAGCAATGATTTGTGATTCAATTAAAATAATATATACTCTTCGAACTGTTGTAGCTGTTGAAGAATAATTCCAGATATGAAACTGTCTCAGAGACCACTAATTGAACTACTGATTACTTTGAGTAGTTAAAACTTTCAGTTCTTGTTTATGTAACATTCAATACTACAAGGGACAATGTAGACTTTCAACGATTAAATCAATGAAATTATTGGTATGCTAATATTTTGTGTTCACACTTATCTTTCTCATTCTTCCATTTGACCTATTTTTTTTTTGTGATATCGACTAACGTTCCATAAATAATGACAATATGCATCATTTCACAATTGGCTTATATTGAAGAATTCAGGAATGACTCAATGCAAATACTATCGATAGAGTTTTGCTGTTCCTATAAAGTATGAATTAATTTCAAGAATATACCTTCAAGATTTTCTAGGGATTATGGCCAGTTTTTTCTAGTTTTTTGGCAAAAAAATATTGTATTGATAAAACAATCGAAAATCTTTTCGATGATAGATGGAAATAGACTATGATTTCTCAGTAAATATTTATGACGTCTGAAAGTTATACTGCACATATTACAGCCGTAAACAAAATTCTTCCCTTCACTTTATTTATTTTTTCTTTCATTTTTCATATCCATTAACCATGGAATGAATTTACTGCATAACAAAACTGAAGAGCTGTCACATTTGAAAGTATCATGTTTATGTCGATAACAGACTTTTTTTATCTTAACAAAATTCTTCTATTCTGAAATATTTTAATCAGCTCATGCAGCGGTTCAACAGACGAGCAAATGTAACAGTAATAATTTCCTCCTGTAAGATCAGGATGTATTGGAGATGATGATAATAGTCTATGTGAGTATGAATTATGGCCATAAAATTTATTATTAAAATTGGAATTTTCGCAGTGAGGACAGCTAGCGCGCATAAATATTAAAGCTGGAAAAAAATTTAGTAGATGTGTGTGCATGTGTGTGTATGTGTGTGTGTACGCGTGTCTGTATGTGCGTGACAGACAACATATCAAGAAGTTTCTTGCAAAGTCAGCGAACATGTTTCATTTGTCCACAGAAACAATATAAACTGTAGGAAATTAAAGACAGAAGGGAAAATCCAACGTGAAGTAGCACTCATAGTTTTATAATTCAGGTTGAAAATGTGCCAGGCGCTTATATCAGTACATGTTTCTGGAACTCTTTTCGGGTTACTGTAGCAGTGCGCATGGACTTCTCTCTTGGGTTGACGTGTTTTGCGTGATTTTTCATGGCGTTTGAACGGGTCTTGCTGCAATTTGTCGAGTGACAAGATCTTTTTTTTTGAATCGTTAGTTTACTTTTCAAATACAGTTGAGAGTTAAATAGTTACATGTTGTGAAGGATAATTACAAATCGAGAACAGAAATGGCATAGTTGCTGAGGATAATTATAAAAGGAATGCGAAGAGCATTTTTTAATCCTTCTTGACATTAACTTATGAAAAAGAGTCGTGTGGTTTCCGAATTTGTGTGTCTATTTGTTCTTAAATACAAAGTTAATGTGTAGTTGTAGTAGTTCTGCAAGCAAGGGTTCCACAAGTCCTCAAAAAAAAAATCCTTTGAATTGCATGAAAGTGCATTGTAAAATATTAAATTACTTTTAGAATTGAATTTATTAAATTGAACACGAAAGTATCTTTGCGTTAAACCTTGTAATATGATATGTGTTTTGCTAGATGATTTATTAACTTATTAAAACATATGTTTGGGATTGGCGGAAAAATGAACAATATATCACCAAGACTTGACTCAACTAGTAAAATAAAAGGAGGAAGAGACGCTGATACTATTTATTTAAACGACCGAAATTTGGTATTTTAAAATGAAAATAAATTCCAGTTGTACAAATTCTTCGAATTATGAGTGAAAATGTTACAACAAAGCGATAATATTTGGCTGTACAAGGGATGCAGATAATGCTATATTTTAAGATAGAGAAAAAAATCGATTATACCGACTGACATTTTTGTTGCGGAATCAATTCCATCCTTTTCCTTATTTGCATATATTATTCATCACTTTTCTCTCCTATCTTTCATTGTCTTTGGTTGCCAGAAACGATTAGGGTAGTTAATACACAGCATTATGCGAAGATTTTTTGAAGATTCTGAAGCATAATTTTGATTTCTGTTATCTTAATGGAATACAGGGATAGATGCTATAAGCAAGTATAAATCAAAAAAAAAAATCAAAATTATTTATGCACTAATACTTTAATAAAAATGATGGTAAGAAATATCGATTCATATTAAAAGTATATGTATTATCTCAGCTTTCTGTGGTACATTTATGGTTAAATTCTCGGCAGTTTTCAATTTGAGTGGTTATGAAGAACCATGGAGTTATTGCAGAAAAGCTTTTCATTTGTAAAATTATGATTTTTTTTATTGAAGGCGTGATTGTGAGTTGTATGATTGGTAGTGTGCACACGGTCGACAGAGTGGATGATGACGGCTGTAGTGGTGTAAGGAATTCTCTCTTGGTTCTTCTCTCATTTCATTTGTTCACTTTCAGCTTTTACATTAACAATACAGGAGTTATGGTCTGAATTGGAAAAATAGCTTATTTGTAAGTGAGAATATTTGTTTCCGCTTTTTAGAATGTGTTTATGAAGTTACAATTCATGTTTTCTAGGATGCAAGAAAAAAAAAATTTTGTTCTATTTGTATTTTTCTCTTATCATATTAATTGTGTCGTCATCAAAAAAGCGCAGCAGTAAAATGAAACACAAATACTTCTCGGAGAATTATTCTGTTTTTAAGAAAAGACGGAAATTTTAGTTTAGGAAAAGTGGATATTGTTGGGAGAAAATCCATTTGTAAAAATTTAATTGAAATATGTCTCAGTGATGGAGAATAACAGATTTGCAAATTACAGGCACGGGAGCGCAATCTATAAAATTTGCTGAATTAAATGAGTTTTACATAAAACATCAGGAAAAACATTGACACAGTATATTTATTTGAAACGTTTTTCTGGATTTTTTTTATTCTTTTCATTTTTCGAGCTAGTCCCGTTTATAAAAACATTGAAAGATTTATTCAGAAAAAAATAGGTTGAAAGATTTCTGAACAAATCTTTCAATGTTTGTTTTTCTACACTTCCCCTTTTTTCGACGATAAATAACCATGCTCTTGTTTTTGTTAACAGTGGAAAAATACAGAGAGCGTAAGAAAAAATAGATTTTTTTTATAAGCAAAGCAGAATAAAAGGAAAAAAGATCGCAGATTAATAGAAAAAGGAATGATTGCTATTGACGGATAATATTTTTTTCAATTGGCTTGTTTTGATATTGTTAGTTTTTCTGCTGGAACTTTTTTATCTTCATTCATCAAACTTACATTTGCACTTTATTACGTTAGTCTTTTGGGGAAAATTAAATCTATTTCAAATATTTCAAAACTACCTTTGTTATCTTTAGTTATTTCACTTTGCCCTGCGGAAATCCTATTTCTATCTGGTAGTATTTTCGAAACAGTATTTGCTTTTCAAACAAAAACTTTTTTTGAATCAGTTTAATGCTTGACTTACTATATTTTTTTAATTTGAAGGCTTGTAATATGGTTACTTTATTAATTTTATTACTTAAAAGATTAATACGTTTGAGACGTAACAGAGCT